TGTAGGGCTCTGGGGTTCCAGCAAGCTCTAAGGAGCAGCTTAGGAAGCAGGCAGGAGGAGCAGTGGCCTATGGAAGTGTGTGGCCTTCAGCAAAGAATCATTGTAATGAACACAGTGCACAAAGGATGTTCCCACTCCCCAAAACTAGCACACACAGAGATCTGGGCTCTTGGCACTGGTGGTGAGGGCTGTCAGTGCACAGAACGTGGTGACCTGCATGATTCTGCAATGCACGTCCAGTCAGTTATGTGGAGATTGTCTGTACCTTCATATCTGCTATGGATTCCAGCTTCTGCTGCTCCTTAGGTTTCCTCCTCTGGAAATCCTCCATGAGGTTCTTGATGTTACTGCCAATCTCTGCGAAGTTCAGATACATGTTCTGTGTGGAACAAGACAAGGAGCTCACAGAGCTATCCCAACACGAGTCCTAATGCAATCAGACAAGGTGGCACTTGAGCACTGCCAGGGATGAGGCAGCCACAGCTTCTCTGGGCACCCTGTGCCAGCGCCTCAGCACCCTCCCAGGGAAGAGCTTCTGCCTAAGAGCTCAGCTCAATCTCCCCTCTGGCAGGGTAAAGCCAGTGAGATCCCACTAGGAACCTACATTGGCATAGAACTCATCATTCTCAGCAGACAGCACCACCTCCCGGAGGTCTTTGCTTATCCCCGGCACGCGGGAGAGGTCGATGCGGTTGTTGTTAATCCCCAGCAGCTCATGAACCATGGCCTGGTACGTCCACTAGCAATGAAAGAGAAAGGCAAATAGCAGAGACACCTTCCACTAGAGCAGGCTGCTCCAAGTCCCACCCAACCCGGCCTTGAACACTGCCAGGGATGGGGCAGCCACACAATCCAAGCAAGAGCAGGGTGGGTGTGTGGATGATCCAGCACCTCAATCCAGGAGCCCATGGGCTATTAACACATGCCCTTGCCCAAGAGTGAGCCATTCACCTGGTTCAGGAGTGGGGTGATGGCATCATCAGAGCGGTCCAGAATGAGAAGCAAAGGAGGGACCTCAGTGCGCCGGAAGTCAAAGAGCTCATACTCTTTGGTGATGACTTGCTGTGGAGAAAAGGTCCAAAAAGCTCAGGTACACCTGCAAAATCTCCTCTTTGGTGGGATACAGGAGAACACAAAGGGATATCTGGTGAGAAGTAAGTGGTACTGCTCTCTCAGGCTACACTGCTAATGAAGGAGTAACCCCTGCTCTCAAAAGCACCAGAGAACCTACTGATGGTGATGCTGAGGGGAAATGAGGTTCTTCACCTGCTCTTTGGCTGGGAGCAGGCAGAGATGAGGGATGTGGCCTGCCCAAAGCCATGCAGCACATGACAGAACTGATGTGAACTGGCTGAAAAAGGGGATTTCTCTCAAATAGATCAAGAGGTAGAAAAAAGAAATGACATTTTAGTCCCTGCCAAAAATACTGAACATCTCTGCAGGTTCTCACCGGACCTTCACACACTCAGCAAGCCTCTTTGCTGGCTCCGAAGAGAGCTGGTACCGAATCATGGGGCACTTCTTCAGGGACAAAAGCAGAGCCGTCAGCCCTTGAGTTGTCCTGGACAGCTGAGCTGGATCCCAGTTGCGACCCTGCAAGGAAAAGCTGTCATGGATCCACAATCCCCACACTCTTCCTCACCTAAAACCTGACTCCTAAGCCTGAAAGGGAGCTGTAGTTTGAAGGAGCAGGTACAGCAGAGGCCACACTCTGCATTCCCTCGTGTCCTCTCCTCACACAGACCAGCTCCCCTCTTCCACACCCACACCACCCCAGCTTGCTGTGGCTGCTGCTCTCCCTCTTACCCCCACAACACGCCCTGGGGGAACAGGAGCTTTTATCCTACCTGGCAGCAGCCCAAGAGGTTGAGAGAAAAAACATGTGGATTCACTGCAATGTAATCGCCATAGAACTCCTGCCAACAGGGAAAGCAGATACAGTCACAGGTCCTGCCAAGCCACCTTCAGCCTCCAGCGTGCATGTCCCAGCCCCAGCCATGTCCCATGTTCCACCCCAATCCCCAGCAATGCACAGACAAGGACTTGGATCATTTCTCCTTTCTGCAGCTGAGCCAAATGAGTCCCTGCACTGCTGCTGCCAGCTCTGTGCCCATCTGCCATGTACATGTTTAGTGTGTGGAGCTCCTTGTCAGCACCACAGACGTGCAGCAGCCCTATGAAACACAGGCAGCAGCAGAGCCACAAGCAGCTCTGAAGGCTGCAGGGCAGGGAGGAACAGGGGAGTTCTCCTCCCTTTTAATCCACATCTGTGTTCATCTCTTCTCCCACGGGAGGCTGCTGCAGTGCTGCTGCACGCTGTGCATGCTGTTCTGGAGCCACATTGCCACACCTGAGCTTTTACCTTGTGTGGCCACTTTGCTGCAGCTTTTGGGACAGAAGATCTACTGAAAAGAGCCAAACCAGTCCCAACTCACCTGAACTTCAGCCACAACCTCCTGCTCATCAGCCTCAGCTAAAGACTTGACATCACTCTTACTGATCACGTTGCTGAAGTCTGGAAGAGAACAACGGGGAGAGAACAGTCGGGCTCCGTGCGGGACATGGAACACACAAGAACACCATGGAATGCTCTCCCCAGGCTTTCCTCTGGCAAAACAGCCCAAAGCAGCAGCACCACGGCCCCTCTGGCAGCACCGCAGAGCGGCAATGACATCTAGAGGCCACTTCAGCGCATCTCCCAAAAACATCATCCCTCCGCTGGGACCGGGGCTGGAAGGTTCCCCTGGAGCACAAAACCTGCTGAAGCTGTTCCGCTTCGTGTTTATTTGCTTCATAACTTGTGCCTGCTTTCACCTGTGCTCTTCCTATAGAGCAGGGACAGGCCAAGGGGAATGGCTTGAACCTGCCCGAGGGGAGACTGAGCTGAGCTCTTAGGCAGAAGCTCTTCCCTGTGAGGGTGCTGAGGCGCTGGCACAGGGTGCCCAGAGAAGCTGTGGCTGCCCCATCCCTGGCAGTGCTCAAGGCCAGGTTGGACACAGGGGCTTGGAGCATCCTGCTCCAGTGGAAGGGGTCCCTGCCCATGGCAGGGGTTGGAGCTTGAGGAGCTTTAAGGTCTCTTCCACCCAAGCCAGTCTGGGATTCTACAGTTCTATGATACAGATGTGGGACAATGGGGCTGCTCCCATGGACAGGCCTTTACTAAAATGCTAAGAACATGTGGATTCTAGTTTTCATGCTGTTTAAGTCACCAAATTCTATTAGAGAAAGGTACCTGGCTATGAGACAAAATAATTACACTGAAGCAACTCATAAGAGATCTTTACAAAGCAACACCATAAATCTGCATTCCTCCCATACAACTCAGCCCTAAACATTTCTGGGATTTTAATGCTTCACGTTGCTCTCGGGCAGGTTCAAGCCATTCCCCTTGCCCTGTCCCTGCATCCCTTGTCCCAAGCCCCTCTCCAGGTTCCCTGCAGCCCCTTTAGGCACTGGAGCTGCTCTGAGCTCTCCCCTTCAGGAGCCTTCTCTTCTCCAGGCTGCCCCAGCCCAGCTCTCTCAGCCTGGCTCCTATGGGAGCTGCTCCAGCCCTCGCAGCATCCTCTACCGCAGTCAGTGCCCCTGAGGCACGCACTCACAGATAAAGTAGATGCTGTACTTGGGCCTCCGCAGCTCCTGGATGAGGAACTCCACGTTCTCCTGCATGAAAACAGCAGCAAGGAGAGGGCATTGAGGAAGCGCGGAGTGCGAGGGGCCGGGGCTGGCCCGCACCGCCCCCGGGGGCAGGGCCCTACCTTGGTGGGCCGCAGGAAGCAGATGGCCTTGAGGTGCTTCATGGGCTCCCTGTTGGCGGAGTCGAGCCGCTCGAAGAGGTACACCTCCTTCTGCAGGATCTCGGACTGCGTGTACACCATGCTCACCACGCCGGTCTGCGGGCGGGAGCAGCGGCGTCCGTCACCGCGGGCCGCGGGCCTGGGCCCGGGCCCCGCCGCGCCGCTCCGCTCCCCACCCGGCCCCGCCGCTCACCGTCTCCCGGTCCATGAGCAGCACCTTCATGCCCGGCCCGCTGTCCTCGATCATCTTGGACACGTACTGCTTGACGGCCAGCACCGCGTTCATCCCGGCTCGGCTCCGCTCCGCTCGGCTCGGCTCCGCTCGGCTCGGCTCGGCTCCGCTGGGCCCGGCCTGGCTGCGCCCCGCTGCCCGCTGGGAGCTGTAGTCCGGCACCGGGACAGCGGCGCGGTGGGGGTGCGCACAAGGACTTCAACTCCCAGCAGCCACCGCGGCGCCTCCCGCCGGCCCTGCCCCCGGGGCACCCGGAACCTGCCTCAGGGGAGCGCGGCCCGGCCCCTCCGCCCCTCGCGTCGCTGAGGGCGGCTCCTTCGGAGCGGGTACAGCCCCGCAGCCTGGTTGGGAGGGGAAGGAGCTTAAAGCTCGCTAAAGCCACTGCAGGAGGAGCTGCTCCAGGTGAGCCGCGAGTCGCGGGGGGCAGAATTAAAGCAGACGCAAAAGGCACTTCACTGGGTGTGGGCAGGAGGAAAACCTGACCCAGCTCTGCAGTGCGGCCGAGGGCGCAGTAACGCAGCTCCCCCATCGCCCCCGTTCCCCAGCACCCACTGCAGCTGCCCCAGGCCAAAACAGACACCTGGAAACCTGGCGTTTAGGGTCCCAATGCAATGTGTTCATGGACAGATAGTGCTGGAAGGAGAGACCGTACCTGTGCCGCCAGCCCCTCCCTCACAGAGGCAGCCAGAGGGGCCACCTGGGCTCTGCTCTGGTGGCCATGGCTCAGGTCAGACGTGTCGTGCATTGCCGTGCTGCTCATCAGCCGCGTAAAGGGCATCACCGACAGCAGGCGACGGTCAGGGAGCTCCCAGGTCCAAGGGGAGCCTCAGGAAAGGCCCAGGTTGGGTTTCCCTGCAGGTCTCAGGGCCAACCAGAGCAGGTAACTGTGAATTCAGATATTGGGATTGCCAGGGTGCTTAAACCAGCCCTGGAGCAGGCTCAGGCCTGCAGGACGTGACCCCTAACTAAAGCGGAGGAGGGAAACCGAGGCACGGAGCAGCCCAAGCTTGGGCTGCAGGAAGCGGGCCGATGTGGAGGGATTGGGTGGGTGCTGCTGTAGCAGGCACTGGTTGTGATGGTCCCCTTGAGCAACTGCATCCTTCTGCATCCAGCCCGGCCGGAGGCTTCATCCAGGAGCAGGGGTGATGAGACAGGTGAGACGTCAACCACAGAGCGGCCTTAAGGCAGAGTGAGGAGGAGGAGGCAGAGGAGATGGAGCGCCAGGGCCACCAGCGTGCTGGTGATGGTGCAGGAAGCAGCACTGGAGGACTCACCTGGAGGGCACGGGAGGGCTGTGAGCTGCCGAGCCCTGGCAAGGGACCCCCAAACCCCTCCTCATACAAGCTCCTGCCAGCCACCAACCCACCGGAGGCATGGGCCACCTCCAGCCTGGCAGGGACCCGCTGTCCTCAGGGTTTGCAGCCCACCCACCCCAGTTCTGCCCTCTCTGCAGTACCTGTCCAGGAGCAGGGGTGCGTGTAGATCAGCGAGGCGTTGTTGGAGGACACGGGGTTGCTGACCGTGCAGGTGTAAGTATCTGGTGAGGAGCTGAGGGACACGTGCAGCTCAGAAGCACTGACACGGCTCCACTGGATCTTGGAGTGGGAGATCCACTCATAGGTCACCGCTTGGAGCCCCACTGAGCACTCCAGGGTTGCTTCGCACTGCTCCGGGTCACCCCTGATCACTTTGGCATTCACAGTGGGCTTTGGGACCAGCTCTGCAAGAGGCACCGGGATGTCACAGCCTCCCCCTTGTCCCGTCGTGGGATGCTGGCACAACCCTCCCATGTTCCCAGCTCACCGTACACCGTCAGGAGGACGCTCTCAATGAGCCCCTTGCCCGTCTCATCCTCCATGTACAGCTGGTACACGCTGCTGTCACTCTTCTGCAGGCGGCTGATCTTCAGGGTGTTGTTGGAGAAGAGCTGCAGGCGCCCTCGGTAGCTGTTGTTGCGGTACCAGACCTCCCCGCTGCCGTCCCGGCTGGCCAGTTTCAAGGTGTTATTGCGGCGCCAGTGGACTTCATGGTAGGAGATGTTGCTTTGCAGGCTCGGACTGAGATATGCCACCCCGTGAACAGCCCCGACCACCTCTGATGATGGCTTCTGGTGTGCCTGGGATGCTGGGAAAGTGCAGACCAGAGCTGCTTGGCCAGCTTGGACAAGGGGTGATGGGTTCAGAATTCAACAGGGGAAGTTCAGGTTGGAGATAAGGAAGAAGCTCTTCCCTGGGAGGGTGCTGAGGCGCTGGCACAGGGTGCCCAGTTTCTGGGCACTGTTTCTGGTGCCCTGTTTCTGGCAGCATTCACAGCCAGGCTGGACAGAGCCTTTGGTGTCATGGTTTAGTGTGAGGCATCCCTGCACATGGCAGGGGCATTGGAACTGGATGATCTTATTGTCCTTTCCAGCCCGTATTCTATGCTTCTATGTTTCTAAATTACAAGTAACCCATTTGCTCACTGATTCATAGAATCATCATGGAATGGTTCTGGTTGGAAGCGACTTTCAAAGCTCATCCAGTCCCAACCCCTGCCATGGGCAAGGACACCTTCCACTAGAGCAGGCTGACTAAACCCGGTCAGCCACACAGCTTCTACTCCCCCCTCTCTTTCTTTCCTTCCCCCCTCCCCGGAGGAATGGGGAGGAGAATGGAAAGAATGTAAGTCCCACGGGTTGAGATAAGAACAGTCCAGTAACTGAGGTATAACACAAATCACTGCTGCTACCACCAATGATAATAATGATAAAGGAAATAACAAGGGGAGAGAATACGATGCCACCCGCCAAAACGACCCCAACCGAGAAGAGTGAGTGTCCTTCCAGGAACTCCCAGTTACCTCCTGGGCATGACGTGCTGTGTATGGAATACCTCTTTGGTCAGTTTGGGTCAGGTGTCCTGTCCCTGCTTCCTCCCAGCCTCCCCTCCTCCCTGGCAGAGCATGAGGCTCACCAAGTCCTTGGTCAGGGTAAACATTACTTAGCACCAACTGAAAACACCAGTGTTACCAGCACTGTTCCCAGTCTGAAAGTCAAAACACAACGCTGCACCAACTACCAAGAAGGAGAAAAATGACTGCTACTGCTGAACCCAGGACACCAACCTGGGATGGGGCAGCCACAGCTTCTCTGGGCACCCTGGGCAGTGCTGCCGCGCCTCTGTGCTCTCTCAGCCACGTTGCAGAGGCAGTTGGTTTCTGTATTTCCTCTTCCCCACACAAGTGACCACAGTGAAGTTGTTTTTTCCATCTGAGTTCATTTTGGTCGCCCCCCTCCCTGACTCCTGGCTCACCCAGAGCAGCTCCTCACCCCCAGCCCCATGGTAGCGATGCCGGGGATCCCATGGGAAGGGAGCCGGTGAGTCACACCCTGGGCACAGCACTGGGATGGGAGGAGCTGAGGTGGAGCGGGATACAGGGAGGGTTTACCCATGAATGCATCCCCAAGGTCCCCACCCAACCCCAAAGCCATCTCCCCCCCAGTGCAGCTCCCTCACCCTGAGGAACCCAGCACCGTACCTTGTGTGATGCAGAGGAAGAACAGCAGCACCGTTGTCAGCCCAGCCACCAGCCTGCTCTCTGCATCCAAACCCAAACTCCAACATGCAGCGGTTCCCCAAGGACCGCATGAACCAGTCTGCGCCATGTGGCCACAGCCCCTACACCCCTTCAAGGCGGGCTTTGCTCAAAAGGGGCAGGAGTAGGAACGTCGAAACCTTTTCTGCTTCTTCCTTCACTTCCCACAACCAGTAAGCATCCGCTTTGTAAACCCCAAGAGCACACGTGCAGTTTGTTCAACGCTGTTCGTGCGCAGCCAGCAAGACAGGCAGCAGCCCCAAACCTCCCTGGGGACACCACGCACAGGACCCCATGGACCCCGACCCCATCACCACCACTGCAAAGGGAAATGAGACACAGACCCCAGGGGTCACATCTTCCCTTACAGCTGCTGACGCACAGGGATCCCATTTAGAGTCATGGAATGGTTTGGGAAAGCTCATCCAGTCTCAACCCCCTGCCACGGAGAGGGACACCTTCCACTAGAGCAGGTTGCTCCATGCTTCTGTTCATGAAGCCTTTGCTGCAATGGAGTTGATACCTGGTGCAGAGCAGGCATACTCAAACCCGAGCCCCTGCGCTGGGCTCTGTAATGACTGGTTTTGCTGTGTGATTTATTTTGTCTTGAGTGGAAAGTATTCAAAGCAGAGTTGTGCTACTGAGTGCTTCACTGGAGACAGCCCTGCAGAAGGGGGCAGAGCGTCGGTTCCAAGCTTGTACCAGAACTGCATCCTGCTACTACAGGTCTTTCACCTCAAAAGAAGAGGATCTAACCAGCGAGATTCAGTTTCAGGTGCAGCAACAGTGTCCAGATCCTCCCAATGCTGCAGGGCAGAGGCTGCATCCCCACTGCTGCCGCTGCATTGCAGCGTCATGGGGCTGGGACCCAGCATGAAGCTCCCCCAGAGAGGTGGTGAGCACCAGTGCTCGCAGCCACGATGCCCATCAGTGCAGGAAACCCCCCAGTACTCTGCCCTGCTTTGGGATCTACAGCAAGGAAGGGGTGGTCCTTAAAACCTCATCAAGGAAAGGCCCAATCCTCGTCCTCAGGGAAGTGATCTGGACTTCAGTTTGCTCCTGTTCTCCCCATAGTAAGTGCTTGGAGATGGGAATTGATGCCCCAGTCCTGTCGGGGTCCCTCTGTTGGGGATGGAGCAGCTTCAGTGAAGAGCCAGGGATGGGGAAGACGCCACTCACTTTTTCCACTGCTGGAAAAAGGTAAGAGAAGCTGGGCTGGTTCTGTGGGCTCAGGGGATGAATTACTCAGCACCACCAGAGCTCAGCCCACGCAGCTTTAGCAGGAAGAAGGGTTATTTCCTTTTGCTTTCTAAAAGTTTCGTTGCTGTTTCTGTTTAGACAGCAGCCAGCCTGCACCTCATATTGCTGAAAGCTTGGGGACATTCCCCATGCTCCAGCAGTACAAAGGCTACTACTGAGGTTTGCATGCAGAGATGATCCATGGAGGTGTTCAGAGGCATCACCCTTCCCCTGGCAGCATTAAGCTGAATAGAGCTAAGACAAACAGGCAGGCAAACTTCGGTTGTGATCAAGTGCTGAGGAATGAAGAAGTGAGTTGAGGAAGTTTGGCTTGTGACATGAAACAGAAGCATAGGAAGGGCAGGAAGCCCCAGCACCACTGGAAGGGCTGTAGGGTGGGAACACTTGTATAGTGTCAGGAGTCTGAGCAGAGTCGTTCAGTTGAAGTGAATTAGAACAGGAACAGAGTGCATTCAGAGTCATGTCTTGGGTGTGAAGCTCCAGATATTAAAGAAGCTTCGATTTTTACATTAGCAGGTAAAAGGAGACAGACCAAAAGGGCTGCTTTGCCAGTGCCTCTTGGAATATCGAGACACCGTGGGTAACAGAGTGAGCTCCTGGATAACATCACCATTTGGAAGGTCCCTGAACGGTAAGATTCAATAACCAGCTCCCCACCACCAACCCCAACGTGCAAGAGCCTCGCGAGGGCTGCGGCGTTTTGAAACGGGCTTGGGCTGCGTTTCAGTTCCTGCAGCGCTCAGGCAGAGGGCGCCTGCGGAGCGGAGCAGAGGCAGCCCCGCATCCTCCTCCGGCGAGCTGGACGCTGTGAGGACCCCAGGACACACAGAAGCCATCCGACCTCACCGGTCCGGCGCCGAGATGCAGCAGAGCCCCAGGTTGTGTGGTGTTGGCTGGGTACGTGGTATGGTCCATGGTGTGGGGCTCATCCTCGGCATCCCCAGGCACAGAAGTGGCAGGGGTGTCTAACAGCAACAGAAGCAAGACACATCTCTGTCTCCCTGCCTCAGTTTCTGTGCCACACAAGGAATAGTCCAGCTGCTTTTTGTCACAAAACATCAGTATAAAAGGGTGACAAATGGGGTCGGTTGTGAGCTGTAGCTGTAATGGAGAGATCTGCTTGCCTGATGGAACATCAAACCACAGAAAGAGGGGAGATCTAGATGAGATATTAGGAAGAAGTTCACAGACTGGTTTGTGTTGGAAGGAACCTTAAAGCCCATCTAAAGCCACAGGCAGGGACACTTTCCACTGGAGCAGGATGCTCCAAGCCCCTGTGTCCAACCTGGCCTTGAACATTGCCAGGGATGGGGCAGCCACAGCTTCTCTGGGCCTTCTCCCTGGCCCTGCTGCTCACACACTGGTGATGCAGCCCCCTCACACGGGTGGTTCCTGGGCTGCAAGTGCACAAAATGAGGTCACCCTCCTCTTCCCCAGCACCAGCTCTGCTTGAGTCATGTCCAGGCACCCAAAGGAGCCTCTGCTAATCGCCCTAAGAACAGCAGCCGGGATTAGGTGCTATTCCTAGAGGGATACAGCTAAAAGGGGCCGCAGGCAACAGAGCCAGCGCACCCTCGCTGGCACATCCCTATTTATAGACGACTGGATGAAGGAGTAAGTCCTGCCTTTCACTTCCAATTAACAGCTCCCCTTTTCTTCATGGAGTAACATCCACGTTCATTGTCCTTTAAACACTTTGATTATCAGCTGAAATCCCAGTTTACTTGCATTTTGCTGTAGAATCCTCTGGCTTCTCTTTTCTACAGAGTGCTCAGAGGCCAGGAAGGTTTTTTTCCTGTCCAAATCCAGTGTTTGAGGTTTAGAGGAGTCAGGATTTCTGCAGGAAAACTCCAATTCCAGGCATCAGATTTTACTTCTCTTCAAACTGACCGACACCTCATTTAAGGAGGTAGTGGGGGGACTCACAGCCAAAGGTACTGCCTTACGTGCATAATAATTGCAAACTAAGTTAAACCCCAGTATTTAGTTGCATCCTATTGTTTAGATTGTAAATGCTTTAGTGTCTGGAAAGTACCATTTCGTTCTCTGTCTGTTTGCTTTGGAAATGCTTTTGTAACCATGTCAGTGATGTGTTTTTTTCAGCTAAATAAGCCCAGAGTGTTGTCTCCTCCTTAAATACATCTTTGTCCTTAAAGGAATACTGCCTTCCTGCAAACTTCCTACAAGGAAAAGCCTTTCCACCCAAGAAATACCTTGAATTTCCCCATTACACCCCCCCCATGTGTGTGTCGTGTGATCCAGGGACCAGCTCAGCCAGTGACATGAGGGAGTCCAGCTCTGGAAACGGGTTCAGAACGAGCCATTTGCTCCTAGCAATGGACACCTTCAGGTCAGCACCAACAAAATCCCCTTCCTCTTGTGTCAGGAAAAGGGCAGGAACATCTCTAAGTATAGAGGAGGGGGGAGAACCAGCTCACTGCAGACAGAAGGGAGCTGAAATCCATGCAGATGCTGACAAATAGAGGAGTTGCCTGGAAACAGCTGTGTCCTGTGATGAGTTTCCTCCTCTGGTTTCCATTAATACAGAACCACTTCTTTACCTGTCCCTTTCCTGGGTGCACGAACATTTCCAACATCCCAGGCCCTGGGCTGGTTTCTTATGGCTTGGGAGAATCCTGACCCTTTCCCTGTGCCTCAGGTCTTACTCTAAAGCAACGCTGGTGGCTGAAACATCTTGTGCCACAGCATCCAGGGCTCCTGCTCTTGGCAAAGGAATAAGGTTTGGATGAGTTTCCATCTTTGAAGCCAAAAATGAGTTTGTTTTCCTATTAGCTTTGCTTGTCAGCTGCCATTTAACCCTCTGCTTTTCTCCTTGGGTACAGAAGGAACTCATCACACCACAAGTAAGCATGTCTGTTGTTCCTCCTTCATTATGTGTCATGAGTAAATCTAGGTACCTCCATTTAACTGCCTTGGGAGCAATGTCTGCATCCATTCAGCTGCCCTGCAGTAGGTCTGGTGGGTTCCTGCTGGACCATGAGCACACTTCGGTACGTGCAATGCTTTAATTCACCTCGTTCTTTTGTCATGATCTGACTGTGTTTCCCCTTTCAACAGTAACAAGGGGGGAAAAAAGGGGGTGAATAAACAAGTAAAAGTGCTTTGGGGTCCAGAACCTTCTCCAGTTGTCTTATGGAAACTGTGTATGGATGTCAGTTGTGTGTATGGATATCTGTGTATGGATGTCAGTTATGTGCATGAATCTTTATGTGTATGGATGTAAGTTACATGCACGGATGTCAGTTATATGCATGGATATCTACGTGTATGGATGCCAGTTGTGTGCATGGATGTCAGTTATGTATATGGATGTCATGTATGGATGTCAGTTATGTGCAGAGGTGTCATTTATGTATATGGACGTCATGTATGGATGTCAGTTATGTGTATGGATGTCAGTTATGTGCATGGGTGTCATTTATGTATATGGATGTCATGTATGGATGTCAGTTATGTGTATGGATGTCAGTTATGTGCATGGGTATTGTTTATCTATATGGATGTCATGTGCATAGATGTCAGTTATGTGCATGGATAGCTATGTGTATGGATGTCAGTTATGTGCATGGATGTCAGTTATGTGCATGGATGTCAGTTATGTGCATGGATGTCAGTTATGTCAGTTGGCCACTCCATAAGGTTTTGGGCAAAAGTTGAGTGAGTTTTAAGGCAAGAAAAGCTCTTTCTTGCAGAGGCCTTTAAGAGTTGTCTTTGCAGATCAGTCCAGAGCTATCCCATCAAGCCCAAGTTAAGCCAAACAGACGCAGTGTTAGCAATCCCTGTGTTTCCTCATGGAATCATGGAGGGCTTGGGTTGGGAAGGACCTAAAAGCTCATCTAAAGCCACAGGCAGGGACC